GAGCTGTTTGTTAGTCCCCGTTCAGAACAAATTCTTCACATAGGACCCGCCGGAAGTTGTCCACAGTCTCTCATAACGTGGATAAATATAAAGCGTTTTGAAAAAAAAAGAACGAAAGAAAACGGAACAAAAAATCAAATCAAATCAAAACAAAACAAAGAAAACAAAAGAGAACCAGCAGAAACGTGAACACGGTGGAATAGCACAACCATTGTTTTGTCGTTTTGTTCTATGTCACAACCGAGAGAACTGTTTGAGCACAACCACAATTTTGTGAGGGTTTTTTTAAGTGGGGTGGGGGTGGAGGGAGAAGATTCATCTGTTTGTTTGTTTGTTTTTATTCTAGGCGATACAGTTTGTTTCCGATACAACTCGAAAGGTCACATAAGGTGTGCAAAAATGATCAGGCAGTGGTCGACAAAAAACACAGCAACACAGTGTGCCTGAAACTTTTGCATTTGGTGACTCCATGCTCACAGTTAAACCAGACCTAGGACAACAGATTTTGAACTGGTCGCTGGAGGACCTCGACTGGATGAAGACACAGTTGAAGGGGTTCGAACACTTAACCCGGATGGGCTTTGGGAATGTTCATCTACCAGGCGTTGATAGGGTGACAATGGGGATAGAGCTAATAGACCTGAGGGATCAGATTCTTCTAGTTTGCCTGAATATTGCGGTTTGGATAGCGGGCGATCTACGGGTACTCGATTTTCCGACGAGGAGTCTACACTACTTGTGATCTGGCGATCTGGTGCCGAGCCGGGTTTATCCATTCGTGGACTGTCTGAACCGGAATGACCACTTTGGGGCCGGGGATCACCTAAACCCATTGCCTCTCCATCCATATAGGTTGCGTTGTAATTTTTCAGACGATACTCACGAAGAAATCCAACCACATCGGCCTCGTGCGAGCTGGGAACTAGGAGGCCGAATGCAGCACAAAGATGAATGATTAAGTAACAGACAAAAAAGATGCGATCCATCACCATAGCAACCATACGCCATTCGCGTACGATCACATTCTCAGCGTCTTTTTTCGCTATCCGATCTAAAAATGTCCGAATAGACTGATGTATCGCGCGAATCTCCTCTTCTACGGTCTTAGTGATTTGAACCAATTCCCGTTTTTCCTTTGCTCGTCCACGTGTGATCCCATTTGTACCGGGCGGTGCACTGGATCGTGTGTCAGGCACACAAAATTCGGCCCGATTTTCCGGATTGTTGGTCGGATCGTGCAACTCGTTGGCAATCAGAGCCAAACGACCCTTACGATATCCGTAACGGAATTGTGGACCCTCGGGTTGGCACCAGTTTCCTTGCTCAGCTGAATCAAATGTCTCCATCAACTGATGTTGAGGATAGTGAGTGCTTTCTGATCGATGCGTGGGAGGTGGATGATGATTACATATCAGACAGGCAGTCTGTGGCACAACCGAATAGTCTACCATTGATGGGTTTCGAATGAAACGAAGCGATGAAGCACGTCCACGATCTAAACTAGCTTCATGGCGTTGACTGCTGGTATCGATTTCCAGCGTTCCATGTGCCCGTAGAGCATTCAAGTGTTGTATACATGCACGGCAGCTTTGTGGATGACGTTGATGTCTAGAAGGAAGGGTCAGATTCGTGTGTGTCAAACCACACGGATAGAAATCAGCTGAAGCTACACTACGGTGGCATAGATCACATGCAATCTGAAACGATTGCACGTCAGTCAATGGCCTGACCACAGAATTGGTCGTGTGCATTTGACATTGATTAGTCCCAGCCACTGTCTTCATGGTCGTGGTGGTCGTGCCTTCATCCCCTTCATGTTTGGCTGGAGTCAATGAACGACTTCGTAATTTCGCCTTTTTATCCAAACCACTCTGTGGTCGACTGTTAGTGCTTTTAGTCGAGACCACTTCTTGTTCACTCTCCTCGTCGTGATCGTCCAGCAGTGCCCGAGCTTCAGATANCGTGGTCGGGACTGACCCAACCGCTGTTCCCGTGACCTCGGCTGTCGGTGTGGCAAAACGTGTTTTGCCCTTACGTGTTCTCCGTACAACAGAGTCTTCTTGTAGCAGAGGTGTGTTTGGGTTTGTGCTCACAGCATTGTTCATAGGTCTCTTACTATCTGCCGTCTGATCCCGAGGACTTTTTGCTTTGGTATTGATAGCCCCAAGTGTGTTGTTGCTGTTGACCTGCATATCTGTCTGGTGGTTGCTTGGGGCGACCGGTTTCTCGCCCGGTTCTGTCAGGCAACTTCCTGTCAGAGCTTGACAAACCTAAAATAAATGAAAACGTCAAAGATAATTTGTAGTATGAAGCATGAAAAATCAAAATGTGAAGGTAATCTGTACGTCTGTGCGATTCTTACGGAGCAGTGACAATGACTCTATGATGATAGTGTTGTGAGTAGTATGTTTGGATTGTTCAAAAGAATGTGAATGGCAGTTTCTTCCAACGATAAAATAACAAACCGTCCCTTCTAGTGCGAATTATTGTGCCCAAAGTAGTAAATACGGAAAAAGCACATCTACCATCGGACCGTTCCATTGTTTATCTTGTGTGTTTGTGGGAGTTCAGAAGACGTGTTCCAAATGAGACGTTTCGTTATATTTATGCCAATTTACCGATACCCTTACGGTTAATTGTATTTTACAACAATCTTCGTTCCGGTACCGTCTTGTGAAATCATAACACTAGTACTGATTGATCCAGAACTTCAAATCTGCAGAACCTGAATGAATGTGGTGAAACCCACTGCCGTTGCTGTGTTAGATCGCCCGTGCGTTTGGGAATGGCGGTGGTGGTCCGGTGGTAACGTCACCAAATTATCACTTCGGGGGACGTGTGTTCGAACCCCACCACCATCGTCTAACTTTCCCCATGGCAGCCCTTTGATTGGCCGCTTCCCCCTTCCTGAAAATTGTATCATTGTGAATTCAAGAAAAAGGAAGTAAAATTAAAAAGAAAAAAATGGGCGGGTGGGACTGGGCGAACTCAAATACCAACGTACTACTGAAATGAACATTAACATTAACATGAAATGTTAATAAATCAGATAAAAATCGCGGTATAAAGCATATGATTTCGATAAGGTTCAACAATCCCAACTTTTCCAACCGAAGCGAAGTTTCACTTCGATACAATATTGAATAATTACCTACAGGTAAGACAAGATTTTTCGCACGAGAACATCGTAATTTGTGCATTACGAGCCGTCCGCCCTGGATATCGATTGAGGCAAGGACTGAAGGACTAAGTTCATAGTTGGGCTTTATGTATGTGCGGAGAAATATCGCAGAGCCCAAATCAGAGGGTGATTATGGTCGCCAGTTTAGTAGTACAGTATTTTATTGACTGACACTTGACATTCCAACATAAGTGAAGCTGCGTGCAGCAGTGGAAGAAGCACGTACCACGTAACATTTTATGCAAGGAATTGAATGTATCACTGTTTTTTAACCACCACACGAACCTATGGGAAAACAAAAGCATAAGTTTGTAAGTTATTCCCATAATGAATCTTTGAATCTTTGAAATCAAACTGGCTTCCATTTCAGTTAGAAAAGACTGCACACGTGCATTGAAACGCAATCTACAAAAAAAGGAAACAGATGAGTTACGATCAATTTCGACAGCAACTTTCAGTTCTTAGAAGAGGAACTACACCTTCCATCGTCGTCCGTCTATCTGTTGGTGATGATAAGTGATAGATGGGGAAACAGTGGAATTTCGGGGTTTCTTTACTCTCACAGTGTCTGACTTGGAGTGAAATGTCCCACAAGCACCACCCCCACCCACTCACCCACCCCGAAATCGGATCGATCAGGGGAGGTAGCAAATGTGTTCAGATGAGTTCCACGATGGCATCGATCACTTGGCTATTTTAAATGGCTTCGCATCCATTCTGATGGCTGAACGTGTAATCTGATGTCGTGCGTGAGTGAAATTGGTTGAATCACACGCTTGGAATTTTACTTCAATCTCGTCTGCTCGAATCGCATTGAAGTTCGGTTACCATCCTCTGTCCATATCGAGCTCTATGTGTGTCACGCAATAGCTGAGTTTAATTTCCCGATTTTATTCGATCTCGATTTTTTTACACCAAGTGTATGCTCCAGTTATCTTGATAAAGTTTCAAGAAGCTTTTTCCTGTTGTTGATTTCCGTAGGTATGTGGTGGTGGTGGCTGCTGGGGTTAGAGCCGGATGAGGGCTAGCACAGCATTGTGAATCCTTTCTACTTATCGCAGTAACAGTTTTATTGAATGTACGTAGGCAGAGGTAGCAACCAATAAGGAACGAGTTTATACGATGAATTCGTCGTGTAAATGAGACATGAGCTGCAAAGTTGGGATGCACTGGACAGTTGTCATATGTACGTTTCCAGCCTATAAACAAATCAAATCTTCCATTACTCTAATACAACAAATAGTCAGACTGAAAGTTTCCAATCGAGTCATAACCTTGGAGGATAGTGCTGAGATGAGCGAGGACCGATACTCGCAACAAGCTCGCAAAGTTGGGTTGTGCTACATTGTGTATATTCAGCTTCCCGGTGGCCGAGTGGGTAGCATGCTTTCGTTCTACCCCTGAGGTTCCGGGTCCGATCCCCAGTAGGGTCGGTGGATTCGCACTGATTATGAGACCCAACCAGGTCAAAATAGTTGTCCAGTACTTCCAAGCTTTTCTGAACACGCCTCATTTGCGCGACGAATTCATCACGTGAACAAATCAAATCCTCCATTACTCTCAAGGGACGACTTTACAGTGAGAATTTTTTAAGAGAAAAACAACAACAAATAAAGCATAAAACTCAAACAAGAGCAAATAACAGGTTGGGGTGGTGTTGGACAAGTGGTTAGGTCAGCAAATTGTGACCCGAAAGTCCCGGGTTCGAACCACTCCACCGCCGCCCGTCTTCCCTATTTCTGTAGTTCCCCAGGCAGCCTTTGTAGGGCCACCGCCCCCTTCCTGAACGTTGACTGTACATTCGTATATTCAATAAATAAAAAAGGAAGTAAAAGAACTTCACTTCAAAAAGGATCTCACCGGCTAGTGAAGAGGGTCAACTTCTATCCATACCATGCAGCTCATCTTCCTGTACCCTATTTTCAGAGCATAAAAGCAGAGAAGAAAACTACCGAACCGGGGTTTCTATGCTTGAATGAAACATTCCCAAGTCGATTTATCTCATTTACCCCGACTGTATAGAATCACGTGAGGGAAGTGAGTGAAACGTGCTCTCCTTGCATGGTTGGGAGATATGACTTGCTCAATTAGTCCAAATATTGAGCCATATTTGACTACTTATTGCCGAACCGTTAGGTGGCAAGATACTTGATTCGCACGGTCTTAACAAACTAATTAGATGTTTACCTGAAGATTTATGAGAACCACGGTTTTCTCTGTTAGTACAACCCTCCCACAACTCTACACGTTTTGATCAGTTTAGGTTTTTTATATATTCACTGAATCGATAATGGATAAAAGATCTGGAGCGAACTGAAGAACAAAACAGTTAACAAGACAAAGCTGAAGAATATTAGACAAACAACAGATATGTAAGGTAAGTGAGTATATTATTATTTCAACAGGCAATCAACTACACAGAACTGGCAAATGTGCCACATCATATGAACGGGAAATTTGTAGAATAGTTCCATAGTTTGGGTAGATATGTCGCTTCCCGGTCGGTCTGGCCGAGGATGGAGGATAGCATCGAGGTCCCCACCGGAAGTCCTTGATTAGAAAGCCAGATCTAGAAGACAACGGGACGGAAATCGGAGTCCATAGTCCATTGGAGTACGTGTCCAGTTTATCAGATCTTCGAACGGGGCCAAATGTCCAAGGTGTCAAATACACCTTGATGCTCAATTGAGCTGGGGACCACCACCACAAACAGGTGTATTTGTAGTTCACACGTCTCTTTTTGGTCGGTTTGGAATCAGGATTTCAAGCTAACTCCCCTAGTTGAACTGCCGATAGCTCACCAACCCGGTTATAGCACCGTGTATGGGCATTTTGTCCTCTCACTTTGGTGGGAAAAAATCCGCCACGAAAAAGCAGTGAGTAGGGCTTCCTCAACAGAGGCTATTTGAGACGCTTGGTCGTACGGGAGTATTTTGTGAGGTGTAAGAGAATGGTGACTAGTCACAACTCGAGACACCTCCTATCCCGACCTTTGTGTGACACTATCATTATTGTTCGCCGAGAAACGATCCAATTGTGCAGATACCTCATAGGCAAAAGAGAAGCATGAGCTTGAAAGTAATTCCCATAACAAAACGTTAACTATGACTTTGTATAGATCAGAGCCGACGGGGTGTCAGCACGTGTGGTGATTCAACTCTCGTAGACAATACCAGTCAAGGGGCTGAGCGTTACGGCTCTAGAATAACGGATTAGAGGCTACCAGTCTCGAGGAATCAATGTCCATGAAGCTCAAGCGGGATTCTTGCGACTCGCAGTGCATAAACCATTGCCTCATTAGGGACTTTTGCGGTTCACCGCCTTAAGTAAGCGACAATAGATGAACGACAGATTCCCGAAACTATTCAGTCTATCCTTTCTTCTGTTTGTCACAAAATAAGCTGTGATGATGTTAAAACATAATACCCATATGAATACAAGGAAACATTCGCCTTGTTGATTCCAATTTGTTCATCTTGACTAATTGTTTGAACTGTTATCGATTAGATCGATGAACAATGATTTGTGAAACGAATGAGATAAACTAATCTGTTCACACGTTTCCGTGGCGTCAATTATTCATTTGTTTTAAAGCTCAGTTAGGCTAATAGATCCCATGCACCAATGCATCTTATACACATGTTATCCTCAGGCAATTGGGGGGGGGGTTGCGTGAAGAGGCACATTTATTTCAAATATGAAGAAATGATATAAAACTGTGACGCCCCAAGTGGCAAAAAAAACGGCCCTATGGAATCCGTTCCATCCCCGTGATCAGGGATCCAAAACGGCTCGTTAGATCAAACTGTTTGAAACGCTTCGTTTTTCTTCTAGGTTAGCCAATTGCTATGCGTGTTTGTCAAAGCATCCATGAAAACAGCAAACACTTTCTAAAGGTTTTAAGCAGTCCCGATCCGGGATCTGATATGATATCAAACAAAGTGTAGCAGATCAGTCACGTGAACCGTCATTGACTATGAAACTCGTCAATTGTAACGTCTGTTCTAAAAACAGGGAATTGGACTCCGATGGGAACAACCTGAGCAATGACGTATTACGTACATATCTATTACACCCAGACCTCGGAAA